CCCCGGCAGAGGCAGTTTTTGCGGGTTGTGCTACCGCAACGTCGGTGCTGGTGTGCGGGTCCCAGGACTCTAACCTTCCTCTCCCTCCCAGGGGTGCAACATTGTCAACACCAAGCTCAGCGTGATGAGCGCTCTGCTCGGCTCCGGCGGCTGTAAGTGCTGGCACCCTCCTTTTCCTCTGCCCCTGTGTGACCCCCTGCACTTAGGGTCGGTTGGTTTTTTTTACATTGGGTAAACACAAATATTTTAACAACTTCCTAAAAACATCAACTCTCAGCTCAAGCACAACGCTCAAGTTCCCTTGCCCCAGGGCAGCAGCAGACAAGTTTTCCTGCAGAAAGCCACTTCAGGAACTGTTGCTTTTAGAAACAACATTTTCGCTGCAAAATAGTGCTTTCTAGCAGCTCATCCAGCTGGGAATGCTGTGAGCAGGAGCCACCGTTGGTTCCAATATCTCTGGGGACCACAGGATTTGGGAGCATCTCCCTCTCATTGCAGCTTAAAACCTTTCTTCCCTGTGTCCACAGCCACGCTCCCGCTCGGGGCTCTCGGAGATCTGCCCCCCTTTTCCATCATCAGTGGCGACGCTATCCAGCTGGATCTAAAAGTAAGTGCCACCGCTTCCCCTGGCCCAAAAACCTGTGACTTGGTGAGTTTGGGTAAGTCACCTGAATGTGGCGGCTATTTGTCGAAGGCTTCTCTTATTCCAGCTGTCTTCAGGAAAGCATTCCCTGGAAGGTACTGATGAGTGTGGTCCGGCCACATCCGTGCTAATGCCACCACTGGGGCTCTACCTTATATTTTTCCTTGCTAATCCTTGAGGGTAGCATGAGCCAGATTGGCTTGACACTGCTTAATTAAGCATAATTACAGCACTCTCATAGTTGTTACTCAAAAAAGCTTAATTTCATACAGGATCAGTGGTCACTGTTCACTAGCAGGTTCCATTTATAAGTGGTTTGTAAAAGTTTGGTATGTAATTAATAGGGACCGTAATCAGGCCAAGGATATTGGCAACGTGTCTTTCTGATCGGGAGATTGGCTTGACACTGCTTAATTAAGCATAATTACAGCACTCTCATAGTTGTTACTCAAAAAAGCTTAATTTCATACAGGATCAGTGGTCACTGTTCACTAGCAGGTTCCATTTATAAGTGGTTTGTAAAAGTTTGGTATGTAATTAATAGGGACCGTAATCAGGCCAAGGATATTGGCAACGTGTCTTTCTGATCGGGAGACGTGACGGTGT